TGTCAGCTTTCCTGCTCCTCTGATGCTGCCTGGCCCTGCTGTGTTCCCCCAGTTCCACACTTTGTTATAGTAGAGACCTGTTGATTTATACCCAGTTATTTAAATCGCCTTTCTGTTCTGAAGACTTGCTACCATGTTATAATGCATGGTCCATGGCATCCTGTGAGGTATCTCTTCCTGAGGTAGGGAAAGTGAGATGTTAGTAACTTCCTTGTACAAATGACTTTTTTGTGTACGAGAGCCCAGATTGTGATATCATATATTGTCTTACAGGTCTCAAAGTCCAGTTCTTCCTTTGCCTAAAGGATTATTTAGTTTTCAGCAATTAGGAATTTTTGCTGATTTGTTTTCAGTTCTCTGGGGTATGAGAACAATTTTATAACTACCAACTGCACAAACAAGATATCAAGCAAGATTTGTTTAGCTCCTTACCACAGTACAATTTGCATTCACTCGTTAAACCATTTCACAAATTTTTTCTCATGGCTGCTGATTATCTTGGCCCAACTGTAACTAATTCAGCAGAGTTCTGAGACTGGATTTGTATCTAAACACACAATTGGATAACTTTACTCAGTCACTTTGGAGTCTTTACTTAATTTAGTAGTATTTAGGGACTATTCCATTAGCTCATAAAGACATGTCTGCATTGAAGTGTCCCCAGACCCTCACACAATGATTAGATTCACTGTTTACATTATGATTTCCTCCCACTTCAATTTTTGAAATTTTCTTTTTTCTCAGTAGTCTTTATATTAGTCAAATATACACCATGAAAACTATGAAGACAAAGTATGTTTACTATTGCTCCCCAAATGAATCTGCAGGTACAGGTAAAAAGTTTGATATACAGATAATGAATCCAAGTTACACTCAAATTTTACTTTGAAATGGAATAGTTTAAATGAGCTCCATTTCTGCAGCATCCTTGATGAATCCATTCACTAATGGGTTATCTATTATAGTCTTTGCAAGCCTCCCTTCATTGGGTCTCCTATCAGCCTTTTCTTCTCCACGGAGAGCAGTTCCAGCTTCTCCAATATATCTTAATAACTAGAATTCTTCTTCTCTGGAATCATTCATAAACCTCTTGGGCACTTCTTTCAATGCCTTGACTTCCTAAAATATGACGCCCAGACTAGTCACAATACACCAGCTGAGGCCAAACTAGTGTCTTATCCAGATTCAACCTAACTTCTTGCTCTTACTTTCTATGTCCTGATCAGTAAAGCCTTCGTTCTTTATTAACTGCTCTGTCAATCTGCCCTGCCATCTTTAATGACAAACACATTAGTAAAAAAAGAATTTTTGCAGTGAAAATATACATAATATTAAGTCCAGCCCACTCTCCAACTGCTCAACTCTGAACGAGTTTGAAGGATGAAAGATAATGTACAGTGTTATTGTGTTTTGTATTTGAAATGTTATATATAGATTGATTTAGTCTGGTATGTATTGTCCTAATTCACAAAATCATTTAAATATCCGACCACATATTGCAATGACTGCAGCAGTGTTTATCTTTGAAGATTGAGACAGTATGATGAACTGTGACATTCTCTGCATCAATAAAAGTGTACTTTATTATGTTTACCCAGAGTCCCTCCTTTCTTTTCTCTACAGGTACTGCAGGATCAACATAATAGGTGACATGAGAGGGAAATGTAATAAGTTATTCTGCACTGTTTTCAAATTATTTTTCTGGATCAACTCACCTTGAATAACCTAATAATGTTAGAAAGTCATATTGCTAGTTTCTAATAGGGACTAATGCTAAATCTTCCATATTTCCAGCTTGAAGTTATGAAAAATGAACAAAAACAACATTTTTCAGTGATTGACATGTTTAGAAACCGGAGCATGCAAGCCATTGGTGTCATAAACATTCTAGTATGGTAAGTATTTAATTGAGTCATAGACTAGTACTCTACTGAAGCAGGCCATTTGACCAAATAAGTTAAAATTGCTCCAGTATATAAAATACCACAATCGATAAAAGATCCTAAGAAACAATGAGCAGGATGAGATTTACCTGATATGATATAAGAACATAAGAACAACATAAAAACATAAGAACTAGGAGCAGGAGTAGGCCATCTGGCCCCTCAAGCCTGCCCCGCCATTTAATAAGATCATGGCTGATCTTTTTGAGACTCAGCTCCACTTACCCGCCCACTCACCATAACCCTTAATTCCTTTACTGTTCAAAAATGTTTCTAGCCTTGCCTTAAAAACATTCAGTGAGGTAGCTTCAACTGCTTCACTGGGCAGGGAATTCCACAGATTCACAACCCTTTCGGTGAAGAAGTTCCTCCTGACCTCAGTCCTACATCGGCTTCCCTTTATTTTGAGGCGATGTCCTCTAGTCCTAGTTTCACCTGCTAGCGGAAACAACCTCCCTGCCTCCACCTTATCTATTCCCTTCATAATTTTATATGTTTCTATAAGATCTCCCCTCATTCTTCTAAATTCCAATGAGTATAATGCCACTTTACTCAGTCTTTCCTCATAATCCAACCCTCTCAACTCTGGAATCAACCGATATGCCCTATTTCTGCTGTAATACAATCATGGAAACAAAGAATACCTGAACTTTTGTGCATTGTATTGCCAGACATTAAAGTCATGAATTCTTTATCATTAGCACATTTTAATATTGGACTTGTTGTTATATTTATGCACAAAGCCATTGGGTAGCTCCGTATAGATTTCAACACAAATGTAAAAGACAGGTAATTGTGATCCAGCATTTAACTGAAACTCTTTATTTTATTTAGATGATAATATAAAAATGCAAAAATGCTGTGAATATTTTCTTCATCATATACCACAGGCCTCCCAACAGCCAGCAGGAGATAGAGAAGAGAATATGCAGACAAATTTTGGAAAGATGTAAAAACAGCAGGGTTGTTGTGGTGGGTGATTTTAACTTCCCCTATATTGACTGGGACTCACTTCATGCTAGGAGCCTGAATAGGGCAGAAATTGTAAGGATATTCAGGAGGGCTTCTTGACATAATATGTAAACAGTCCAAACAAGGAAGGGATTATACTGGGAGAGATAGTAGGAACTGCAGATGCTGGAGAATCTGAGATAACAAGGTGTAGAACTGAATGAACACAGCAGGCCAAGCAGCATCAGAGGAGCAGGAAAGCTGACGTTTCAGACCTAGACCCTTCTTCAGGGATTATACTGGATCTGGTTTTGGGAAATGAGCCAGGCCAGGTGGGTGAAGTTTCTGTAGGGGACCATTTCGGGAGTAGTGATCATAATACTATGAGTTTTAAGATACCCATGGATAAGGATAACAGCAGTCCCCAATTGAAGGTGTTAAACTGGGGGAAGGCGAACTACAACAATATTAGGCAGGAACTGGACACAGATGACTGGAGGTGGCTATTTGAGGATAAACCTACAGCAGACATGTGGGAGTATTTCAGATGGCAATTGATACGAGTTCAGGAGCGGCACATTCCTGAAAGAATGAAGCACAGGTAAAGCAAATTATGTGAACCTCGGATTGCCAGAGATGTTATGAACTTGGTCAAAAAGAAAAAGAAAGCATGCGTAAGGTCTAAGGGGATAAGAACTGATCAAACACTTGAAGTATATAAGTAGGAAAGAACAAGCAAATAATTAGAAGATCTAAAAGGGGTTATAAAAAGTCATTAGCGAACAAGATTAAGGAGAATCCCAAGACTGTTTATACATATATAAAAACAAGAGGGTAGCCAGGGAAAGGGTTGGCCCACTCAAGGTCAAAGGAGGGAATCTATGTGTGGAGCCAGAAGAGATAGATGAGGTCCTAAACGTATGCCTTGTGTTGGTATTCACCAAAGAGAAGGAATTGGTGGAGGATGATCTCAGGGAATGGAGTGTCAAGTTTCTAAGCCAAGATTCTATTAAAAAGGAAGAAGTGTTATGCATCTTAAAAAGTATAAAGATAGATAAGTCCCTGGGTCCTGATGGGATCTATCCCAGAATATTAAGGGAGGCAACAATACCAATTACTAGAGCATTGACAGACATCTTTGTATCCTCTTTGGCCACAGGTGAGGTCCCAGAAGACTGGAGAATAGCCAATGTTGTCCCATTGTTTAATAAGGGTAATGCTGGAAATTAGTGGGCTGTGAGTGTCACTTCAGTGGTAGGTAAATTATTGGAAAAGATTCTCAGGGACAAGACCTATATACATTTAGAAGCAAATGGACTTATTAGCAATGGACAGCATGGCTTTGTGTGGGGGAGGCTGTGCCTCACTAACTTTACCAATTTTTTTGAGGAATTGACAAAGATGATTGATGAGGGAAAAGTGGTTGATGTTGTCTACTTGGACTTCAGTAAAACCTTTGACAAGGTCCCTCATGGCAGACTGGTACAAAAGGTGAAGTCACATGAATCAGGGGTGAGCTGGCAAGATGGATACAAAACTGGATAGTCAACCGAGAGAGAGGGTAGTGGTGGAAGGATGCTTTTTGGATTAGAGAGTTATGACTAGTGGTGTTCCACAGGGATCAGTGCTGGGACTACTGCTGTTTGTGATCTACATAAATGATTTGGAGGAAAATGTTGCTGGTCTAATTATTAAGTTTACAGATGATACAAAGATTGGTGGAGTTGCAGATAGTGAGGAGCATTGTCAGACGACACAGCAGGATATAGATAAGGGAAGAAAAATAGCAGATGGAGCTTAATCCAGACAAATGTGAGAGAATGTATTTTGGAAGGTCAGGTACAATGGGAAATTACACAGTGAATGGCAGTACCCTTTGGAGTATTCATATGCAGAGGGACCTGGGTGTACAGGTCTGCAGATCACTGAACGTGGCAGTGCAGGTAGCTAAAGTAGTGAAAAAGGCCTATAGCATACTTGCCTTCATTGGAAGGGGCATTGAGTATAAGGATAAACAAGTTATGCTGCAGCTTTACAGAACTTTAGTTAGGCCACACTTGGAATTGCGTACAGAACTGGTCAACATACTACCAGAAGGATGTGGATGCTTTAGAGAAGGTACAGAAAGGTTTACCTGGATGTTGCCTGGTATGGGGGATTTTAGCCTCAAAGAATGTTTGGATAGACTAGGTTTGTTTTCACTGGAATGCAAGAGGTTGAGGGGTGACCTGATAGAAGTTTATAAGATTGTGAGTGGCATGGATAGAGTGGAAAATATGAGGCTTTTTCCCAGAGTGGAGGGGTCAATTTTTAGGAGACACAGGTTCAAGGTGCAAGAGTGGAAGTTTAAAAGAGATGTGCGAGGCAAATTTTTCACACAAAGGGTGGTGCATACCTGGTACACATTGCCAGAGGAGGTTGTGGAAGCAGACACAATAGCAGCATTCAAGAAGCACCTGGACAAATACATGAATAGGAAGGGAATAGAGGAATACGGATCCTGTAAATGAAGACAATTTTAGTATGGGAGGACAAAATGTGTTGGCGTAGGTTTGGAAGGTTGAAGGGTCTGTTCCTGTGCTGAATTGTTCTTTGTTCTTTGTTCAAAGTCCTTTTGAAGAACAATCGAGTTCCCATTCCTCTACTTTTTCCCAATACCCTTGTAAGTTTTCTACTTCAAGTAGTTATCCAATTCCTTTCTGAAGATTATCAGGTATTGCATCCTAAAACCTCATCATTTCTTGTACTGAAAATGTATTTCTCATGCCACATCTGGTTCTTTGACCTTCAGTCTGTGCACTCTGATTATTGTTCCTCCAGCCATTGAAAATAGTTCCTCTTTACTTACAATATCTAAACTAATCATGATTTAAGAAGACTCTCACATATGTCCTCTTAGCTTTCTCAGCTCAGCCTGTTTTTCCAGCATACCCCGAAGCCAGCAGCCATTAACTGAACTGTGATGAACTTATACATTTTTTGTGACTTCTGTCATTAATTTAGGCACCGTTGTATGGCAACTTATAAAACTTTTCACTTTTTTTGTAAAAATTCACATGACAATAAATTGTTATTCTATTCTATTCTATTCTAAAAGTTCTGAAATGTTGTCTGTCCATGTGACAATAGTCCCTCATTAATAATTTCTTCTGTGCCCCCTCAAAAACCTTTACATCCTTCATAAGCACCCTGGCTTTCAGACATTGTCAATTCCACTTTTTGTACTGTGACAGAGTGCGGAGGCTGGAGAAATATCATTTTTGTGACATTGAACGTTAAAAATAGCTCCCCTCACTTTGCCATTATGGGGCAGGCTGCTTTGGTGACCCAGGAACAGCCTATGAGGCTGCTCAGTTCCTGAGCTGGTCTACCTGGGGAGTCTGGCACTGTATGCAAAATTTAAAAATGAAGAATAAACCAGAAAACAACTGTCTGCTCCTATTGCATCACTATCTATACCTCATGCATGCCAACCATTCCCCAAGACCTTAATAACCCTATGCCATTCTATGCCCATCAACCCATTCCCCCATGGCTCCTTATACACCCTTTGCCATAACATGTCCATCCATCCATCTGCCATGGTCCCACATATTCCTTAAACCTGAAGCCATCCCCATCGCTTTTCAATACAGTGTGGAGCTGGAGGAACACAGCAGGTCAGGCAGCATCAGAGGAGCAGGAATGTTGACGTTTTGGGTTTACACCCTTCATCAGGATGCATTTCATTTTTCCTGCGCTATCCTATGCCCATCTATCAAACTACCACCTCAGAACCCCTGTGCCAATATATGAAACTACACCTATCCTTCCATAACCTCTTATACCACCCTGTGCCCCAGCATCCATCCTCCTGACCCTCACAATCCTATGCCCCTAATCATCTCCTCCTGGCCTTTATGACCATTAAGCCAACTCAGTGTTCACTCATCTCTCCTATGCCACAGAAAACAAAATTTGACTTTGTGTCTCTTTTTAGCAGCCTTCAAATTCAGGACTTTCAAGCAACTAAAAACCAAAAGAACTGTGGATGCTGCAAATCAGGAACAAAAACAGAAGTTGCTGGAAAAGCTCAGCAGGTCTGGCAGCATCTGTGAAGAGAAAATCAGAGTTAACATTTCAGATCCGGTGACCCTTCCTCAGAATGTTCTAAGGAAGGGTCACAGTCTAAAACTCTAATTTTCTCTTCACAGATGCTGCCAGACCTGCTGAGCTTTTCTGTCCTTTCAAGCAATTAATTGTACAGGGATATGAACCAATGCAAATATTTTAATGAATGTAAGTGAGAGGTGATTCAATTGGCAAAAGAAGCAATGGCTGGATGAAGAATATCTTTTTCACACAGTGAATAATTGGGATTTTGACAACGCAACTTGAAAGTGTGTTGGAGGGTGGATAAAAGTTCAACTGAAGCACTCAAGAGGGAATTGGATCATTATCTAGAAAGGAAAAATGTGCATGGTTATGTGGAGAAGGAGGATGAGTTACATTCAGCGAATTGCTTCTTTAGAGAGCAATAGTGACATTATAGGTCAAATGGCCGCCTTCTGAGCTGTGACCCCTGAACAGATCATTCTCTAATCTGTAGCACTGAGGGTAGGAAAGTGCAGAACTCACTTGCTCAGCCTCTTAGGAGCTAGATGGATCATGGGTAGCCAATGTGCTATTTCTTAGAAAAATGGAAGGAAAAAAATCCAGAATGGGACCATACAAACAACTTTGTGTACAATGTTTGATTTTCCAAACAAACTCCAATAGGCATGCTGCTGTTTCTCAGTGGTGAGGGAGGTAAATTTAGAGTACAAGTTGACTGCAGCCAGTGTTTCTGATCACCTTCTCATTCTTGGCATTCTTACAGACTCTAGAGAGCAGATATGCTGCCTGACTCTTGGAGGGGTGGAACAGGAAGAGAAAGAAAATCCCAGTAAAACTATAATGGAAGAGGAGAGTTTGGGGAGGCAAGTTTAAAAAAAATCATTTTACAAGAAGATTCTTCCATTTTGTTTTGCAGGATGATTACTTCAGCTGGATACTTTGGTCTGTCTTTGAACACACCCAATCTCCATGGTGATGACTATTTGAACTGTTTCTTCTCTGCAGTCATCGAAGTTCCAGCCTATATAGCTGCCTGGCTTTTTCTCCAGAGGTTTTCCCGAAGGTTCAGCCTTTCGGGATCGCTTTTCATTGGTGGTGGTTTCCTTTTCTTCATTCGCCTCATACCTTCAAGTAATTTTTTACAATGTGGCACGGCAGCTCAGCGGTTAGCATGCTACTTCACTGCACCAGGGACCTCGGTCTGATTCTAGCCTCGAGCGATTGTCTGTGTGGGGTTTGTGTGGGTTTCCTCCTGGTGCTCTGGTTTCCTCTCACAATCCAAAGATATATAGGTTAGGTGGATTGGCCATGCTAAATTGCCCATAGTGTCATTGAGTGACAAAGATCCCCTTAATGTGTCTGTTACTACGGGGCCTGGAAATAAAATTAGGTGGTCAACAAACAAGTGTCAATGGTGTCACATGACAGATGATGTTCTATTTTGCCTGATAATGTATACAGTTTATAGACCATACCCAGTTAAAGGGATAATCTACAACACTATCCTAATATTTCTACAGTGCAATTTATTGCACAAAACATTTGTTCAAATATTCTAAAAAATTAACTAGTTGCTTCAAAAATTAAGGATTCAAGCTAAATTATTGGCCCAAAATTTGCTGCAACAGGTCAACAAAGAATACATATTTTGTCCTTGCCTGTTTAATCTCTATCATATTTTGAAAACAAACTGTTCTGAGTTGAGGATTGAAATGGTGGAGTGCCCTCAGCTAGGATCTGAGTGAACAATTGTGTATCTCATTCAGCATTTAGCTTGAAGGATTATGAAGTGAACAGAACAGGGAAATATCTATAGATAACACAGTGTGGAGCTGGATGAACACAGCAGACCAGGCAGCATCAGAGGAGCAGGAAAGTTAACATTTTGGGTCAGGACCCTTCCATTCTTACTGTCTCTGAAGGAAATTTCTATTCTATTCATTGTTGAAATGCCACTGGCATGCCTGGCATTTGTTGACCTCACTGACTGCCCTTCCAAGGGCAGTGAGCAGCTACTTTATCGATCTTCTGAACTCCATGTGATGTAGTTACATCAGATAATAAGGAAGGCAAATGGAATTTTGGCATTGATTGCTAAAGAAATCGAGTATGAAAGTAGTGAAGTGTTGCTGCAACTACACGACTCATTCATGAGACTGTAGCAGAAGTATTGCACACAGTTTTGGGTCCTTTACTTGAGGAAGGATGTAGTTCTATTGAAGTCAGTTCAGAAAGTGTTTTACTCAATGGCTTCCAGAGATGAACTTGTCTTATGAAAAGAGATTGAGCAATTTAGGCTGACACTCTCGATATTTGAATTGAATTATTAAATTAGCTTTATTGTCACATGTACTCAAATGAATATGTGAAAAGTTTACAGTCAACATATTACAGCGGCATCTCAGGTACAGAGGTACCTAGGTACAGATACTCAAGATTGAATTCCTAGCAAACAAAAGAATTAGAAAATTGAAGAAATAAATAGTCCAGCATTATACATCATAATAATAAATTAGAAAAACAAAAAAGAAGTTCAGAACATCAGTCTATCCGACTTTGTCCATGCCAGCCCTAGCCTCAAGGGAGACCTCCACCGCATCACTGCTGTCACTTGGCCCAGACCCACCAATGTAGGAGTCGCCCCACTTTAAGTGCCATGTCTTTGCCACTGGGCACACTTTGCTGACTCCATTGAACCAAGAGTCTCTGGCTCCATGGCCAGGCCAGGCCACAATTCCTGCTTCAGCTGCAGATGTTGCATTGCCAGTGCTGCCATCTTGAAGAGCCCACTGCCGCTGGCACTGCCATCCCTGATTGCTGGAGGAGCTTTGCAGCAGCTGCCATTGGCCCTGTAGGCCGGGGGAAACGACCTTGCTTTTGCCACCAGCACTGAATGCCAGGAGAACAACCTCTCTGCTGTTGCCACCAGCACCGAATGCCAGGAGAACAACCTCTCTGCTGTTGCCACCAGCACCTAATGCC